TGTCTATATTTATATCTCTATATAATTTTACAGTATTTCTAGCCCACCCTTATCTTTATGGACACTGTACAGTTCACAGCACTGCAAAAATAAAGACAATTTAAGGATATTAAAGCAAAACATTGTGGACCAAAAGAAGATTGCACATATATCTATAATGGTGCCTACCATCAGCATAATATCCCTCCCCCCCGCCCCCTGCCTCTCATAAAAGCTTCAAGGAAGAGGGGGTTGAATTGGAAACAAGGAAGAACCCTACAATGCCATATTTTACATTTCCTTGCAACTGCTTGAAAACAATCAGAAAAGCATTGGGAAATAGTGGGTTTGTTGGTGATTTTGTCACTTTTGAATCTGCTATTCAATAAAGAATTTGCCTGGATTTTGGAGGAAGGAGGTACAATTAATCTGCCAGTATGTTACATTAATTAATTCCCAATGCAGTCATTGCCTGATGTTACAGATCCTGTTAGGGTTTCAACTGGAACAGGATCTGACATCAACCTCTGTGTGTATGTTTTGATGGCTTTGCAAGCCAGAAAAGCTCATTAAGCATACAATGACATGTCAGAAAGAATATTAGGTAGAGTTTATGCCAAGATTCCTTAATATATAAGCTGTCTTATTTTTGACACTGAACAGATACAACAGGTGTTTCTAATGTAAAGTACCTACTAGAGTCACAGGAACCAAAGTCATTATAAACTGAAAGCTGAAATTTCAAGGTAGCATAATTCTGAAAATGACATCTAATCTCAGAAGAAAGTTTGTCTGCAGAGAGATGTTCTAGTGCTGCAAAACACTGGAGATCCTGCATGTGGCTCAACCAGAATAATTGAAGGAGAGAGAGAGTACATGCACCAATAAAAGGCTCATGCCAACAGAAAGTGCCAGGAAGCTTTTATAGTTAAAGCCAACAGCTGGTGCTGATGGGGAATGACACTGCTGGAGGCAGATATCTTCGAAAGACAGGAAGAATACACTTTGTATGGTCCTTTGGGCCAGATTAAAGATATAATTTAATTTCTTCTTAACTTTTCTGTATGTTTGATGCAAATTTTCTTCAAAACAAGACATTTATAATTTAGTCATTCTGTTTTCTTCATAGAATTTAATGGTGGATCAGGATAATAGCTTATTCCATTTGAAATTTTCCCTATATTTTCCCTTTACTACTTCTATTATTTTTCGTTATAGAAAGAAAAAAAGAGAGAGATTTGCTAAGCAAGAAAAATCAGAACAGTTGCACAAAATGCATTTAATGATAGCGCTAAGAACTCCCAGGGCACTACCAGACATGGTTTCAAATCCACTTAGAAAATATATTGAGTATCTTTCTATTTGCATAAATTTGATTGGAGTCAGGCAGCATAAAAATTGAATTAATAAATAAATAAAACCCACCATTGGGGCAGAAGGATATTGGGATCTAATGCAGTCAAAGCTATCCAATTATCGGCAGATGATCTAGTTTGCTTGCATATTACATGAAAACACACAGTATGTAATATTTTCCTTCTCAATAGGTTCCAGCCACATAATTTTTAATTAAAGATTCTAAATGTCAAAGTGAAAACCGAGATGAAAATAGTTTGGGAGGAGAAATGCTAAACCTGGAAATAACAGGTATAAGGGGTTAAAAAACCTTCCTTCCCCCACTGTTTTCCTAACAACCATGAATGATAGTGTGTTGTTTTAATGATACCTAAGAATAATTAAAAATAATACACTGTTATTATCTAATAATGTTATATTTTATATCATCATTATGGTATGCAATATAATCAGTTATTTGGTTACAATTTTTTTGATGAAACACTAGGTAAGCTATGTAATATTTCTAAGTAAAATAATATAGAGTTCAGAGGAGAAGAAATTCATGATGAAAGGAATTGAGAAATTCTCTTCTTTCACCATTTAGCAATTTTTACTATCAATTCTCGCACTAAATACATGATATAGGAGTAGAAAGGCTACATTTGTTGAAAAAGATATTGTTTACAAGAAAAAGTATCACTTTACCTTGGTTGCAGGTTTTCCCTGTGTATCCAGGGAAACATTTACACTTGTCTGGCAACACACATTCACCATACTGGCATCCATGTACACAGGTAGCTGTGAAAGGAGTGGAAGAAAGAAAAAAGAAATGAAACATAAAGACAGAAATTGAAGAAAACTAAAATAATTTCCAGGGATAAAGCTTGCATATCCTGGCTTCTGGAATTCTTTCCAATGCTTTAATAATTGTGCCACTCAGAGTCATGTGAGCAGAAGGAACAGTTGCTTGGAATGGAGCAGTCAGCCACATTCCAAGCCGTTGCCCCACTGCCTGTCCCATTGAAACATACTGGGAAATTTTTTTCCCAAAGTTTTTTCTTTGCAACTTCCATCTGGATCCAACCAATTGCAAGATTATTTCCCAGCATCCAGTTTGGCCACATTTTGTTTTTGGAGAGTCATCCTGCTGACAAAGGACAGACAGGAGAGTCTCAAGTCTCTACATAATTTATTTCAAAAATTCTGTAGGGTTTGAAAGAATAAAAAGAATTATTGTAGAAAAGTAAAATTGGAGTTTGAAATGTCCACTTTCATTGAATTAAAAAAATCTTCACACTGACTAGCATGAGTGATAGAAATATGTTGACATAGATTTTTGCATTTACCAGTTTTGAAAAAATATCAACAGTAAATAGGAAAGAACAAAGCATTAGCTTGGGTTTTTAAATGCTAAGACAGAAGGATGTGTCTCAATAAGTTCATCTGAAAATGAGACTTCCAGGGAAGTAATGGTGGATTGAAGATGGCTCCATTTTTGGGGTACTGACAGCTGCTGCAGATAAGAGGAGCCAGCACAGGATCCAGCTCTTTGGAACCATCTCTGTATAAAAGAAATAACTGGATCACCCACAAGTACTCCTTACAGAGGCTTCCTGTGAAGAGATTGCAAAATAGCGATTTCCAGCAGGTTGTGCACTCTAGGAATCGTGGGAAACATTGAGCCCAAGTTCAGAGCTTTCAAAGGACACTAGAATCACATTCACTTCCTCTTTTAATTGACAATGGTAATTACCTATTATTAATTTACTTGGAAATTAAAAACCTTCTGAAAGGAGAGTTGCTGCACGCCAGGAATATTTCCTTCTATCCTTGCAGAAAGATTTAAGTAAGTTTAAAGATTAAAAAGAAAAAAATTAACTTTGGGAAAACAGCAAAAGGGAGTTTAGAATGTTGATTATGTACAGTTAAGGGGCCAGATGGATTTGAAAGAATAGTTCTTATGGATTGTTTCAAATTTTATAAAAATACAGCTGATGATTTTGGAATGAACTGTAAGAAACCTGACTGTGAGAAGCTTTTGACTTTGAAAATAAACAAAAGATAAGACTTGGCTTTGAAGATTAACTAGAGGGAACCAGAGAGTAATTAAAGGAGAAGATACCTAGTAACATAATGGAGGAATATTATTTTACTGTAGAAGAAATAAAGTCTGGGAACAATGTACTCATGGCCTACTTTTAAAATTTTCTGAAACTTTCAAAGTGGATCTAACAAAAGTTACAGAAGAAGAAAAAATTCTACTGGATAAAACAGAGACTAAGGATGATTTGGGTGAGGACCTTAAAATGGATTTTTTAAAATTGCCAGACTATAAAAGTGACATGGAAGATATGGAAAAAGATGTTAAGGATTTGAAAATGGATTTCAATGTGTTTGACTACAACTGATATGGAGAAAGACCCTAAATCGGACCTACAAAGTATACTGGTTAATGTTTTAACAATTAAAGGGGACATTCAAATTATAAATCAGAAAAGTGTCTTAATGTTATCTTAATGTGGATTAACATTAAGTTATCTTAATGTGGATCCACAGAAGGAAAGTACTAAATCTTGGAAGTTATTCCTGAAAACAGGCAGGAAGAAAATGATAAGAGATCATCATGTGGGACTTTATTTGAAGAAGGGATTGAAGATTAAGCCCTTTAAAAAGAAGAAAAAGGAATTCAAAGTGGACTTATCTGACCAGGGTTAAATTGTATAAGTTGTGATTTTGAGCTGTTACTATTGGAATCTCTTTTTTTAACCAGGATTGTAAGACAAGGATTTAAAGATTTCTTCATCTGGGGATAAACGTTCTGTCTTATCTGTTACAGAAAATTATAGGTTAGAATGTAAAAGGAATCTACTTATTCTTTATGCCTATGGGGATAAATTTTTTATGTTTTACTTATTAGAGAATGTTATAGGTTAAAATGTAAAATTGACTTGTTTAAGGGTAAAACATATAGGATATTATTACTGGTACTCTTAATGCTTTTGCTGAGTAAGATTGATTTTTTAAATTTTATTTTATTTATTTATTTATTTATTGTAATTTGGCTATTGTTAAGGGATGAGAATGGGAAGAATTTTTTTTTTTTTTGGTTTTTATAGTACTAAGAAGGTGTTAAGTTATTGCAAATGTTTATACTTGTTTGGAGGGAGGGGAATCACTTTTTATAGGTCTTTCTCTTTCCTGTTTTTATTTTTTTCTTTTTTTGTTTGTACAACTTTTTTAGTTGTGTATTTTATTTGTGTAAAACATTAATAAAAATACTATGAAAAAAAGTTCATCTGAAAACAATGTTTTGCTTTTCATTGTGGAGATCAAACTACTTATACTAGGAATGTCTCCATCTTTGGACTTTCTTGTACAGATCAATTATTATTGGAGAAGAGTCTTCAAGAGGCTTATGCTTCCTTTTTGCAGGTCAGTGAAAACTCAGAGGATGATGGGCTTAAATGAGAAGATATCTCATCTTGAGCTACTCTTCTTTATTGTTAATACCATGATGAGTGAAACACCCTCCTCAAAGCATTAAATGCCTCTCTTGGAAGGGCCATACCACTGTTTCAAAGGCTGCCCCTGGTTGTCATGGTGTTTATATGTACATGTATAGACAATACTTCTGCTGATATGTATCTTCAGAATTCACTTTCCATTTCTCAAGTTCCAACCTTCTCCAAATCACTTACATTCTTTCCCTGTAATCATTTAGCCTTGGTAAAACAAAGCTGTAGAAAGAAATAGCCTAAAACCCTAAATTTTCTAATTTTCTTCTAAAATAGTTGTAGAGAAGCTAATCAATCTAAACATCAAACTCAGATTATTTCTCTTCCTAGATTAGTGACCATGATTGTATCTTATCACAAAAATGCATGCCTTCACAGTTCTACAAAGTGAGTTCTTTTAGGAATGTATTTAAACTCATAGCATTCCAATGTTTTCTTACCATCCAAAATAAGTTTATTGTTCTGCAGCCTGGATAAGCTAATGGTGATAGCCTCACACCTCATCCTTTTCATGCAAAACAGATGTAGATTGCAGAGAAGGTGAAGGACAATAAGGACTAATAAGGAAAGGTACAGAATAGCAAGAAGAAAAAGACTTCTGATTTACAGCTGTTCTACCCACCTGCTGATGTCTGGCGATACATCTTCCAGGGGAGGATTCCCTGGACATCTATCCCTACAGGAAATTCTAAAATATCTCCCAATTGGGCTGCACTCAGGCTTGGCTAAGTACCAGAGAACTTTAGGATTTAAGTAACTCTGAAGTAAATGATTACAGCTCTCATCAAGGCTACGCACAGGAAGAGAAATAGGCTGGAATAAAATGCAACTAACACAAGGCACTTGGGGGCTTGGATTTGATAATTAAATCCAATTTAATTATTATTGTAGGGCTTTTAAAAAGGGGGTAATAATACTTTTGGTAAAACCAAGCCAGATAATATTGATAATCCTCAATTCATGAACTCCAACAGTTATGTTATATACTACTTTTCTATGTAACAGATCAGAAAGTTAGCTTTTTCCTCATCTGCTTTCCATGCCTACTTTTTTTCCTATATATTATGCTGTTTAAGAAGACTTCTCTGAAAAATATTTATTTCAACACAATGCCTCTGATTTGATTTCAATTCCATTGCCAGATGTGCTTCAGATTACTTTAGATCTAAATTCTTTCTGGAAGGACTTAACACTCATACAATTCCCCTGGAAATTATAACAAGAAACAAGAATAATAAAAAACTCACATTTGGCTCTGAACATTTTCCATATCAAAACCTATACCACCCAAGCATCTTTGTTGCTTGTTGCCAAGTTTTTTGAACAACTGACATGATTTTACCGCTATTAGATATTCTGTCTACCAGGTATGGCTATGAAGGAAATTAATGAAAGGGATATTTGTAACATATCTCTAATGTGTTACAAATCATGCCAAAAAAATTTCAATCAAGTCTTTCAGTTGTAGTTTAGTAAGTTATTGACAATCAATATGTAAACAGGATTAACACGTTGCATAATGTGGTTTGTTTGGTTTGCTTTAGCGTGTTGTGTGAAACCAGCCATTGTAGCATTCTGGCTTATTCTCCAAACCACAATTAAGCAAATTATGGCTTGGGTTGCGTGAACCCAGCATACAAATAATTACATTTACAAACGTCAGTTAGTCATAATAGTCTGGGCTGGTCTGAACCCAGTCCTGTTGTACTTGTTTGAGCAGAAATGTTGAGCATAAGCTTTGCTTTTTATTTAGTTGAATGAGAAAGTTTTGACTATTACTGTTACACATACTCATTAGTCAACTTCTCCCATGTGTGCTATGTCAGGATTGTGACTTCTTCTGGAAGTTAGACAGTTGCAAAAATGAAACAAAGATGGTCACATTAACATAGCTCACATATAGGCACCAGTCAGTTCTGACATATGTTCCAAGTGAATTTCTGGCTGCAACTAGGCTATCCTCACACTTCTTATGGCATTGCATGGAGGGATATCCAAACTGGACCTCATACAGTAGATATGGACAACCAGCATCCTATGTGTGCCTCCAATTCTTCATCTGCAACCTCCCCCTCCCTACAAATCCCCAGAGTGGCTAGCATTTTTAGATCCTTATGGGGTAGGATCAGCTCTATATTACAGCAGAAGAAATCATTCTCAGAACCAAACCATTCTTTCTGGAGATTCACATGAATTTATACAACAAGAGCAAATGTTTCAAAAACATTTTTTTTTTTTTGGTCTGTATTCTTCTCTGAGCAGTTCCAAGCTTCTGGTTCTCCCATAATGTCTTCCTATGCCCTGTGCCATATCTGCAGCCAAGACGAACTCAACTACACACCATATTTCTGGATTTTCTTTATGCATTCTATATGTTCTTCGTATCTACATCTGTTAGATATTTTGAACACAGAATTTGAGTTTTATATTCATAACATAAAAGTTTTCTACATGTGGCATTTAGTTTGTCTTGACAGCTATAAAACTTTCCAAACTTAACCCAACCAATAATCTCTTGTAACATTCTTCTGAAATCTATTAAGCAATAATATCTGGTGACTTAAATCATCTTGTGTTCCAAATTAGTAACAATATTTTACCCAAACAACAACAGCAAAAACCCCGTCTTAAGGAAATCTTGATCAAAGGTGTCTTAATGTGAAAAGAACAGTGTAATAAAGAAAAAAGAATACAGCAAAGAATGTTGGTATATTAATTCATATGTTCAACATACATCATGCCTGATTCAAACCAGAAATCTGGGGACAGAACTATCTAAAAAGCTTTTGAAAATTGAATACTGATAGGAGTATTTTGCTCAAAAAGAATAGGAATGTTCATGCTCCACTTGCTGCTTTGAAAGTCTTTTATTTGTTATCTTTTTCAACATACCTTATTCTTGAGCAGCTGAACTGGGTTTATACAAACAATAGAAAAGCATTATTAATAAAGGATCTCCCCATGCAACATATGGAAATACTTTAAATTATGACTACTATCTGCTATATACATTAATGGACATTCAAGAGGAAAATACTTTTTTGGCAGCTTTCTCCCTTGTATAACCATCTGATAAATATATCAATTATAATGTGAACTTTTGCCCATCTGTACTAGATAACCCAGTGCTAAACTCGTCAAAACAGCAGATGCAACATCTAAGAAATAAATGATCCTAAAGTCAATATTTTATTACTTTATGTAGCCTTGCCAGAATCCTGCCGGGGAAAGATTTCCACCTTCCTCTTATGTTTATACTCTTACTATTAATAAAAGCATTGACATCATTAAATAATCACAGGGCTTTTGTTAAACTAATTCCCCAGAGGCCTGAAAACAGACCCAGCACAGGTAATCCTCAAGTGCTTCTACACTGAACAGTTCAAAATTATCAGTTCTCTACTTATGTGGAAATGTGAAGATATTTTATGTTGTTTAATGAAAAGCATATGCTTATAAATGACACTGTGTGGCCTGCTGAAAGGTTGTCTTCCCCTGAACTTCCTTCACATCTACCATCATGGGTTTGGGCAGGTATTAAAGGTTAACAGGGCAGAGAAATATGCAGAAACGGAATTCTTTCCAACTCCTTAATAGTATTCCCCTCTGGGTAATGTTTGTGGAAAGGAAGAGGGAGAGGGGGCTTAGAGTGGAGGCATCGGTAACATGCAAAGCCACTGTCCAATTTCCTGTCCTTTAGGAACGCATTGCGGGAATTTGTTCCCATTTTCAAACTTATCTTTCTTTTCTGGGTTCGACATCATATTTGGCCCATTTCTGCTCTATTCTTGGACTGTTAACCTGCTAATAGTTGGACAGTGTGACAAGCAGAGCCACTGGTGAACTGAATTCATTCAAATTTAGGCATATATTTATAGAAAAAATGGAGTAACAAGTAAAATATTTTTACCTTCGCAGCGCTGTTTGTTATTTCTTTTCCAGCCATAGCAGCAGTCAAGCATAGATCCATAGTGACAGACCCCAGGCTCATTCACAGTTAGCAGCTGCCTGCGACCTTGTAAACTGTGCAAAAAACAGAAGATCGATTCTAGCTAAAGAACTAACTGAGGCTCACACTCTGGACAGATGTCACATCTATCCACTGAGAAGGCTGGTTACACTGCCATTACGTCATAAGCAATTCTCTCTGCTGAAGCCGAACCTTTCAAAGCAATTTATCAATTACAATGCTTTTTTTTTTTTAACAGAACACGACTGACTTTTTCAATTTAGCAAGCACTTGCTTCATTTTTACTTTTGTTGATTAAATGCATTTATCTTTCTAATGTCAAGAACAGCGGGGAATCAGAGTTTCTGTGTGCCTTTCCCTCCATATCCTGCTTAAAAACAAAATCAGTTAGTTTTAAAGATTTGAAGCAAGTATCACAGGCTGTCCATACTGGAGCCATAACACACTGATAGCGCTAGTATTTGTTAAATAATAAAGGAGTATTGAAACAATGCAGACAATAATCTAATGGATTCCCTACATTCATGTTTGCTGGATTTGACAAATGACAGGAACTTTTTAGTGCCCGACATTCATTTTCAGCATCACAGTTGTGCTTCAGTCTATGAAACATATTCAAGGCACCCAGGCTATATTCCAAATTTCATGGTTGTAATTACAAAACCATTAGTATGTACTTTTACTTTATAAGCCTCCCGGAGTCACTGTGTGTGAGTTGGGCAGCCACATAAATTTGCTAAATAAATAAATAAATAATAAAATTAATATACTTTTTAGTCACTTTGGAAGCATTTCCAGTTAACACCTGGAAATTTTAGTATGAATCTGTGCATACCTGTTAAAATAATGGTCACAAAAAGCATTTTAAATGAAACTTAAGGAAAGCTACATTGTAACCAAATATGCTGTTAAAAAAAAGTTTGCTAAAACAATGCAAAAGACAGGACATTAAATTATACAAAGAGTTCTGTTATTTATTCTCTTATGTTTAAGTTAAAAGCAGCCTGGACAAGCTGTTAATTCCAGAAGACGAAATATATGTAATATATTTCTGCTGTTTAACCATGTTTATGTTCTAGTTGAAAATCACCTTTGAGCAATGGCTTTTTCACCAATATGGGAGCAAGTATCCTCTATAGCAGTGTTTCTCATCCTCAGCAACTTTAAGAAGTGTGGACTTCAGTTCCCAGAATTCCTCAGCCAGCCATGCTGGCTGGGGAATTCTGGGAGTTGAAGTCTACACTTCCTTAAATTGCTGAGATTGAGAAACACTGCTCTATAATTTTAAAAACAGTTCATGGCAGGGGTAAAACTCAATGAAAGGGAAAAGGATTAAGTCACTTCTCCTTCTCCTTCCTTCCATTTGAACCAGCCTTCCTCTGGTGCCCTCCTGATAGGAAGTGCCATTTGACTGAAGGTCTTTTTTCCCATTGAATAGTTACACTGAAAAGCTATCTTATTGGCTTTTGTGAACTTTATATGAACTTTCATAAAAGCAAAATGAGAACATACCAACAATGAATGTCATTAATTCAGCCACAGGTCTAAGGAACAAACTTTCCTTGCAACTGAAGAATACTAATAAGATAATAAGAATAAATAATAAGAATAATAAATATTATAAATATTTTTAAAGGAGAAAGAGGCAGAAGTTCCTCTTGGGTGGGCTACTTGAATTGACAGATCTCCTGCAGAACAAAGTCACCCTACATGGCAAGATGGCAAAGGCCAATCCATAAAAACTGTTGTTACTCATGGGAATGGTGAAGTAGCAGTCTTTGGTATATCATGGTCAATTATTTATCCCAAGTTTATTTTTAGTAAAAAAAAATTGCAGAATAAAAAATACAGTTGACTCACAAAATTAATGTTTATTTCACCCCTATGTGCTGCTCGAGCCTCTAAGGCAACTGGTAGGGAACAAGGTCAAGGAGCAGAGAGATAGGGTTTAGAAAAAGTTCCTGTCAATGGCAAATCAACCTGCTCCAAATGCCATGAAACTCCATTGTCTTAAGTCATGAAATAGACATTTTGCAATGTGAACTGGAACAACAGTGAGCTGGAAGAAAACTCACTTGGTGGTTCAGTAGGACACCAAAATGGGAACCCAGGAAACTCTGCGGCTGGGGAAGCAATTCCAAAGCTCCATGTTAAAGTGCTCTAAATTCCTACTCCAACTATGACTTGGGTATGTCTAGTCAGGTTTTAGTTTTTCCTGCCTGGAGATAACAGACCACGGGCAATTCAAGGACATTGTACCAGTTTGAAAGCAGGTTTAGACCTCTCTATTCCCAGAATATCAGCAATTATTAAAAAACGGAGATGATTTATATCCACCTTAGCTATGTTATAGTGATTGGTTATTGTCAACCACTGCAAAGCTAGATTCTTTAAAAAAAAAATGATGTTGCCCTATTTCCCTCAGAGAGAACTGCTGCCAGATCTTGAATTTTGGGTCTTGTGATCAAAATGTTAGCTTGATGGTTTGCAGCTCTCCCTCAGTAGCCAAGAGAAAATGAATAACTGTCAATTGACAACAGTTTTATCAGTTTTCCACTACCTCTGCATTCTTCTGTTCAGCATGCAAAATGCTGGCATGTATTTTTTCCATTTACTTGGCATTGAGAAGTAAGAGCAGGACAATGATTTTCATTCCTTCTTTGAAGCATTTCTGATCAGCCAGCGTGAAGATAATCATATATTACTCTAAACTATTCCTGAGGATATAGAAAACGAAAAGTATGGTGGTATGAAAGTGCCCTATATCACAACTATTTTAAATTTGGATATAAAATTTGTGTTCTTTTCACAAAATATAGGAAATCTAAATATCATTATACTTGTCTATATGATAGAGAACGAAAAGAAAATGACATGCCCATTTCACAGGCTGTTAGAAACAGCTACAACAGATCGGTGTTATTTCTGAACTCCTGTGACAGTCAAGTTCACCCATTTGTGACTTGCCAGCAGCAGAACAGCCCTGGTACCTATCACAGCACAACCAATTCCTGTTGTCAGTAGAGCTGTCACCTCGATTAGAGCCTAACTATCCTTACCTTGAGTTTATAGTTCTCCAGGCATAAAAAAAGATTCACATCCAAACCCATATTTGAAACGTTTTCAATTGACAGAGGCTGGTTTAAAAAGCTGACAACCATGCTATGCCTTGCTGGTTCTGCAGATCGGGTGGACTATGTGTGTACAAAAGATCAAAATGGCATCACCACGAGAAAGAAATCTCTGGGTTCCTCCACTGCAGAACCTTGAAAACTACCAAGGAAATGATGTTTTATTTATTTTGAAATACTCTATGATTGATTTTGAAAAAGATTATTTTTTTCTTTAAGCTCTTCTGAGGGGAGGGAAACTTAAATTTATTGTCATTTATTTCTTTTGTATGTAGTTCTTGGACACTTTCAGTACTTCAGTTTAACTTTAACCTTAGTTGCACTTTTACAAGGTAAATCTAGTTTGGTAGTTTCCTGACCATATTTTTCATCACAATCTGTTTGTATCCTCCCAGTCCAAGGTATTTATCTCACAGTTTTATGTAGTGTACAATCCTTTGCATGCTTACTCAAAATAAGGCCACTGCATTCAATGCAACTTAAATTCAGGAAAATATATATTGCTTTTCACCTTAAATGTCTTTGTGGGGCCCCATCACTAAATTACTGAGATCATTTTAAATAAGATTCAATATATTCCATTCTTCAGAATATTTAGAAGAAAAAATACTTTAATTAAACCTCTATGCTCACAACTTCTCCAGAGTTGTACCAGTCATCTTCCCCTTCCCACAAAGAAATACCCCCCATATAATTCAAGTATAGTCTATGATGTAAGATAGACTAAAGTCAGGGAAGGAAGGAAGGAAGGAAGGAAGGAAGGAAGGAAGGAAGGAAGGAAGGAAGG